TGTTTGGGCAACAGTTAATTTCAGTTTTAACTTTGGTTATATTTTAATAAATATTCAATATTATCTAGATAAGGTTTAAACTTTAGGTATGCATCATGTGATATGTACAGTGTATTGATGTATCTAATGAGTAATGGAATCTACTCATGTCGAGTACTATGTTTTAGGGGTGCGGATGAGGTAATGCCGTTTTAATCACTTGAAAATGCGTAGTTCAATCAAGTGGCCTTGTGGCGCAACGGATAACGCGTCTGACTACGGATCAGAAGATTCCAGGTTCGAATCCTGGCAAGGTCGCAACACTGTAATTTTTTTAATATTTATTTCCCCAATTATTTTATTTTACAGTATTAATAAAAAACATGAACTACCAATAAATATTGGATTTCTTAGGTACTTACCTAATTTGTTTAGTTACCTAAAAAAATAGATCATTATTTATTATGATTTTTGAACCAACCGCTTTTTGCAGGCGAGAACAACTTCCCCTAGCTTCTCTGCGAGTTAAAAAAAGTATATTCAATATCCCAAATTCAAAATCATAGTCGCCCCTCTTCTAAAATTTTACTTACCTAACCACTCTAGGGGACTTGTCTCATTTGCTCCCCATTTAGCACATCCCTATATGTACTCCATAAACTTGAAATGTTCTATAACAGCAAGAATATGAATTTTAGGTCTCCAAGATTTGAACCCAATGTGTAGAACTAGAAACCAGAATGCTATTACTTGATAGATATCTATTGCTCGATATAGCTCAAAACCGCTCATCTATACTTAATTTGTACAATAACCCGTCGAATCTAATACTAACCAGACAACAAAAGTGTATGATGTACACGTCATACAATAAAGAATCGTAAAAATATCATTAACACATAATGCGTTTTAATTGAACTATAATATGTAAGTACTTCTTCGGCTCCACTGTATTTTTTTCTTTTCGTTAGTAGTTAATTCAGTTTACCGACTTAAACCCTTAGTAACATATTATATATTTATTATAAGGTATTATATTACCAACAATGTAGTTTTTCTGAGCTATATTTTTCTGGTATCCATTTTCCCCAATTATGTATATTCTAAATGGGTAGAAAATATTTTCTTTAAAATAATTTCAAGAAACCTATAGCATACAATATACACCGATACACACGTGCAGGTCATCAGATGTCCGCAGAGTAACGAACGTCATTAGAACAAGAACGAATACAACCGTGGCTCGGTTGGATCCATAAAATTGTATACAATTTCATATACACACATCATAACACATATGTATGTATACTGTGGGTCTACCGGCGTGTATTGTTTCAGTTGTCAGCCCATTTGGGCTACACGTGGATCGTCGTTGTAATGTGCTGTGATGGTACCCCCCGTGTGTCTTGGATCACTGGTAGAAAGAGATTATACGACAAACTAGGACACCGTCGAATAATTAAAGCCATATTTTTTCATCCCTTCGCGCACCTTAATATGAATAATACCGTTCAGATGGAACGAACAAATCCTACACTACTGATTCGGTATCTCAGTCCCCCGTGTTATTACATACATTTCATAGACATACATACCCAGTGAGCAGTGTGTGTACACATAAGGCTCACGCTTTGGGATTATACACAGTGCGGTGTCATCCGGCCGGTAAAACATAGGAGGATCTGCAGCTTAAACGTGGGCACGTGCTAATTATTTGTGTTTAGTACACACAACCGTTTCCGGACCGCACGTTGATTTTAAATTCCGGCGGAATTGTGACACAACATGTCTCGTAAGTCTAAAACGGTAGTCGTCTAGTATAATATTATGTTGTACACATGATGATACTCTATCCCTAACACGTGCTATAGACAGTTTTTACTAAAAAATCGACACCGACTTGGAAAGTATGAGCTAATAATGTGTAAGACACACCTCATTACTGACGCGGTTTTTTTTTCATAAAGAATAGTCAACAAATCCGGTTGGATTAAGGAAATATAATAGTTATATTCGATTAAGTAGAACATGTTGTTTAATACATTTGTATGTAAATAATGTAACTGTCGAACACATTCATTCATTTTTAATTTTTATTTATTTCCATCACTTTGCGTTGTCAATATGTCATTATATATTTACTAAGTTTCTATACAAAACAATGCATTTTCTGAAACCTGGAATTCACAGACTAATGATCATAATTAATAATTATTAGAACCATGCAGTTTTCGAACAATTTTATAATATATCATATAACAGAACAGTGACACAAGAATGGACTATGAAATAAATCAATACCTATCTTGGCCATAGCCGTAACTAGACCTAAATTTTAGAGGGTGCTAAAATTATGTAAACGGTATACCTGACTAAACATAATTCTTATCTTAAAACCATTAGATATAAAATAATATAACTGAAAACAAAAACATTTTAAAATAAACAATTTCAACAGTGTATGTACTTATTAAAATTGTATGCGTTCAAATGAAGGATTGGGGTTTGAATTTTTGGGGATGCTAATTTTGAGTCTGGCGGTCTAAAGTCCCCCTAGCACCCCCCTAGTTGTACCTATTATTATTAAATAAAAGAAATAGCCAAGGTATGCACTGATTATTTAATCAATGGTGTAACTAGAGACTCCCAAGGACAAGACATATTTTTGCGCCCCATAGGCTAATTAATACTACATGTTAACGTGTATAACGCCCTAAATTAAATATTTGCCCCCTGCACCCACGGTACCTACGCCACTATATCTAATATTAATGCTAATGTGAAACGTTAATTCGACGACCGACGAACTATATTCGTTACGACTTTTTGTTAACGACTCGTAATTAGTTAAACTTACCGCCAATTTTTATTTGTTGACACTCAACTTTCGTTACTTTTTTTGTAACGACTACTGGCTTCCTTGTTATTGCTTACCAAAACGATTCGTTAATTTTTTATTGTTTTTGTTATTATTTTTATTTCATTATTTTTTTGGTTTTATTAAACTATATATTTTCTATGAAATTATGCTTTAAGTTGATTTTTAAAATTTTATTTTACCTTATTTATTGTGATTTTTTATTTCCATATCCTAAAGATGTCCAAAAGTCAATAATTTTCAAAAAGTACAACTACGTGCTATAATGATTTCCCGTAAGTCGTAAAAATATGCAACCGAGATATATGAATATGAGTTAACGCGTTTTGGTGGAGGGGAAATGGCCAATGGGTGAGCTTTGTTAACTTAAGATGAAAATTCTTATTATGCTTTCGTATTTTGAAAGTAAAAATTAAAATAGTACATATTAATTAAATAATTAGTTAGCAAAATTGCTAAGTGTGTAAACAATAGGTGCTATACAAATAATTGTTATATTAAAAAAAAATGTTTTGTTAGATTATTACATTAAAATTCTCTGGACATCGTGTTAGAGAAAAATTAATTTGCAACAACAAGATAAATGACAAAAGAAATAGATAAAACTGTATTAAAATTAAAATAACTATTACCTACTCTCTGCCCATTTTCATTTTAATTGAACCTAGACTAAAATGTTGTTGCATTAATAAATTATAAAATTTATAATTTAATATACTAATTAAAAAAAAAAAAATAATAATAAATATACTAATTAAAAAAAAAATGATATTGTTGTTCAACATCTATTAAATATTTACTACAAAACATTATAGTAATCGAAGATATTAAAAAAAAAACAATAATACATTTTTTTTAAAATTGAATATAAATAAAATTCTGCTAGTGTAATAACTTTTTAGAAAAAGGAGCAACAGATATTTTGTTATGTTATCAATTGTTCCCGTGACATGTGTATAGTGTGCATGTGTTATGATTTGCTAGTGAGATTGTTTGCAAAATAAAACTCACCGATTGAATCACTTCTTAAACGAAAGTTAATATATTTATAATACGATTGGGGTTTTTACACATAGTCTGTGTAATATTTTAATTTTAATAGAAATAAATTATTTTAATAGTTTATTGATAAAATATATTATATTTTTTTTTTTTACTAGTATATTTTTCCTTTATGACGATAATATAATAGTTAATATTTGTTGGGTACATAATACCTGTTTTAATTAATTACAGCGTTAATAAATACTTTTTTATGTGATTTTTTTCATGTTTTGTGTTGAATTTAAAAGTAATATAGCGTTGCGAGAACAGCAGCCTGGCAATCTATTTATATGACCAGTTGAACTTATGCGCTGTGCTCTCTTTCTCGACTCCTATATTTAATTTTTAAATTCGGCACGCACGCCTACTAATGCTGCTCAAATTAAACATGTATTTACAATTTCTTTCAGACTTCCTTTCATGTAGAAATGTCGTTAAGTTTCCAATAAACTTATATTTATATGTAGGTACGCCGCAAATCGTCGACCGTCAGCAAAGATCACAGTCGATTGAATCCACGTTTTAGTAAATAAGTAATTGCTAATCAACTGACATAATACACAAATGCATTGTATATTTCAGGACTACCCGTTATCATAATACAAATATTACATATATATATATATATATATATATATATAGAGTTGTACTTAATTTGATTTGAAAAACGATAATTATACATATATATATATATATATAATATATACACAAATTAAATAAAAAATTATCAAAAGTTGGTCGAGTTGTACTTAATTTTATTTGAAAAACGATATATTACATAAAGATATTATATATATATATATATAATTATCGTTTTTCAAATAAAATTAAGTACAACTCGACCAACTTTTGATAATTTTTTATTTAATTTGTGTATATACCTACAAGTTACAACAATACATAGCAGTAATAATAACAGCAAAAAAGCGTTTTTATTAATTGTTTATTTACTGCAAAGTGTGTACATTAAACGCAGTAGAACATTAGTGGTAGGGCGACCGTTTACCCTGGCTCGTCGACCAATGGAAACCAAGGATTTCAAATGGAACGCAAGGAGCAATATAGCCATGAACAAGAATAGTACTACAGCAGTAGTGAATGTGAACAGACTCAGTTTGAACGTCGACCGTTCGAATACAGTATTATTTAAGTACGCGGAGTCGAGTGCGTTTTTTTGTGATTTTTTTTTCCACATTGAACAATTGAAAACATTTTTTTTTTATTGACTTGGGCAAATCTAGCAGTGCGATTATTTTTTTTTAATAATAATTACGAAAACAGCTTGTTGGATTTTACCCGATGGATGCCACTTGCAGCTGCGATTGATTGTTTTTGAAGTCTACGCCATGTAAGTTTTTAAGACTTTGATTACGTTTTTTTTTTTTATATTAAACAGTATTAGTTAAAACAAGATAAAATAATATAATATATGGTTTGCATAATGCGTACCGACTACCGTAGAATATAAGATTTGAAAAACACATTGGGGTAGACGTTGGGTTCTATACCATCTGTTTTCCAACAGTGCACAGAGTTCAATGTGTACAAAGTGAGGACCGTATCAACCCTGATGGGAAAAAAATACGGCTCGAATCCCAATTGTAGGTATACATCTATATAGACCATAATATTATAGAGATATAGACTATAGACGTCGCATACAACTATTTTAAAGGGTTTTGAAGACAAAATATATATATATGTGGAGTATAACTTCACAACTGTACCACGAAAATTGTATGAATTTAGCACTTCTGCTTTGTGTACGCTTCTTGGATCAAACCGCATGTTTATGTTTTTTTATGTGTAAAACGTGATTTAATACAATATTATACCTATTTTAATATTGAGATCAAAACGGCGTGTACGCAATAACGTACTACATTCAATTTTAATTTAGTAAATATACGATTTTTACCGACCCGTTTGTTTTGAAATCATTTTCCCCGGGGACGACCCATTTGAATTGGAGGAGGTCATTAAAAATGAAAATGTCCATAATAGCTGCTTCTCGGGCGGTCATTATACTGTCGTCGTTGCAAAAAAAAAAAGTAAAAATAAATAAAAATTCATGGCGCCCGAGTATAATTATTATCGTACGTGCTGTATACCAAAGGAATATTATTAGGTATAAATCTGCAGTTTAATTAGACCCTGGAACCCTGACGATATACCTCGTCTCGTGTAATTATAAAAAATCTCATAATACTTCATTAGCGTTGGTAGTTTCATTCGGCTACCGTCTAATGTGTAACCGTCATAAATTGTGTGGCATGCCCACTATTATAATATCCTGCAGTCGGTCGTCACAGCAGCCCCAACGCGTTGAATTTTATTTTTATATTACAACCATACGCGCTAACGGGTGACACAGATTTTCGAAAAAAGACCAACGACATCGTCCATAAGAACACGTTGAAAATGAATATTTCTATTTCGCTTTCCTGTAAAATTGTGTACAAATCACTTGTGTCCTTTTTATTATCAACTGAAGCGGTCGTCAGAACTTCAAGAAAACTACCAATATCACTGCTGTTCATTAGACCGGACATTGGCGGCAATAAGAAAAGGGTTGAGGCCCTTTATAGGTGGCGACACGGTGCACATAAAGAATAAAAAGTAGCGGCGGTGAAACCGAATGAATGAATATATAAGCTACTCGTATATTATGTACATGCAGTGTACCACACGTGTACTACTTAGACGGTCAGCAGCACAATAAAGTTGTGCAACGTACAAGCACGGTAAACGATTTCCCATGTGTGTAAGTCATTCGGGTCGTCCCATAGATAAATAATCGAGATCAACAGCAGCTATAGTAAGTCCCCAAAAATCGTCGTCTCGGATTACATATTGGCCGTTGCTCGTTAACGGTTCACGGACGTGTCCCGGGCCGTGTGATATTTCCAAATCTTAATGGCGTTTTTTTTCGCGACCACAGAACCAAGGCTGCCCTGTGCAGCCATATCCGGCGACACCTTATCCGAAAATCCATTTCCACAGACGGACATCACGTATAGTACCTACTCCAAGTATAGTATCTAATTATAATAATATTGTCTTGTTGTTGCTGTTTTTTTTTGCCTTCCCCTCGCGACTGTTTACAACGGCATGTACACAACAACGTTGTCTTGTGTCAGACAATAAATTTCGACTATTTAATAATATGGGAATCCGTCTTGAGATTTTACGAGTTGCAGTGCCGACGACAGCCGTACGAGTTCCGAAATTAAAAATTATTACCCTGTAGAAATAATTACGACCGTCGCTGTTCACATGATGCTAATAATCGACTTATAATTAAGCTGTGTAACAATATGTATATCTTCACATATAGGGAAAACAAAGAAGTCGCGCGTTCGACTTAATATAAGAAGAGCGGTGTTGACAAGCCCTTAAAGTGGTCTTAAACCCGTAAAGATTTCAACGCATTCGGTTGGGTTTCACATTATTATTTTTTTTTTCTATTAGACAATTCGACCGTCGTTTGTCTCTAATAAAGAAAGAATCGACAAAAATTGTCTTCTTTTTTAAAACAAATTAATCTGTATACTACATACATGTATTTAAAAAATATTACATTTTTTTCTAAACGCCCTTAACGTCGTTTGTATTGTAATTTAGATAGACTTAATTATTGGTTCGAGCGTGGCAATAAAATGTGTAAATATTATATAATTTGCTTAATAGCTTACGGTTCATCCGTATCGTTTGGAATTTTTTTAAAACAAATTATATTAATTGTATTATCAAAAATGTCGAGAAAACCATTAGCCTCCGTTTAATCAGCTATTCCACATGGTATTTATATTTTGTACACCACAAGGATTATGAGTCCAAGTATAGGATTTACGCATGCACATATGTGTTTATAATCAACGTCAATAAATGTTTATTTGTGCCAGGATTGGGAATTAAAAAAGGGTCTATCAAACGATTTAAAATTAATTTACTAGATAACAGTTAAAAATCCATTCGTCTTTTGTAACTCAATATAATATTATATAATACACCATTATGTGAACAACACTATAATATAAGCGTTAACCTCAACCCCTCGTTCCGTGCCGGTCTTTACAGATATTGGGTACGTTTTAGCTGCAACTATCTGATAGATATACGAAATGAGGACATATTATTATATATAGTAGATAAACGTATAGCGATGACTTTCATTGTGAACATTGTAATCTAATGATCATACTGTGATTTTTATCGATTCATATTTAGTCTTTTCTAAGATAGTAATTTTCTATAATTTCTGCTCACTATATAACCCAACTTATATGACTTAATTTGGAAAATCAAAATAATTAGATATATCTTAAACTCGAATACACGAAGAGTTAAAACAGAAATTCGATAAATTATTTTTAACGACACGATAAGGGTAATTAAATGGTAATAGTATATTTTATTATTAAAGCGGAGCAATTACTAATATATCTTTGAGTTTAACTTGTGTAATGCGAGGTTTACTACTTTTGTATTTTAACAAGTGAAGTCCACGAGTGGAAAATATATTATTATATTTTAAAACGTTTCAGTCAAAGTGCAACTAACGTTCACTGCTCGCATGTACACAGAACTAATGTACAGGGTGGTGGGCTGGCAAACAGGTGTGTTAAAAAGGGGTTGCGTTGATAAGAACCGTCTCTGGCTACAGCAGCCGCTCCTTGTGCTCTTGTAAACACAAAATGCCCAGGCCCATGTCTTACTCTTTTAATTTTCCATTAATGTAAAATAGGTGTTCGGTCATAGGTAAACATAGGCTGTCATAGGCTTCATCGTTTTGCCGTGGTCAACGGGCTAAAGTATATTTTTTGAATTTTCAGTGGTCCGGGGAGGTTTATCTATATCCGTTTTCAAACAGAAAAAAAACCATTGACGTCTCCAACCAGACATGCTATCATCGCTTAAATAATACACAGCTGTGCCTAAACTATAATGTTACTAGGTAGGTAGATAGGTACACTCGGTTTGATTAGACCACTGGAGCGGGAGTACTATAGTACCTACCGTCGTTTAAGTGTTGTTGTTTGAAGACGATATTTATCTAATTTAGTATTTACAAAAAAATATTATATATTTGTAAACTACCAAAACGTGCACGAAAACCGTCGAGTCCGCTTCTTATCTAATCTCCGGCGAGGTACAACGTACATAGAAAATTTGGTTTGTTTACTAACTTATTCCTCGGTATTGACGTGCCCGAAAAAATAATAAAACCCGTTATAATATGAAACCATATTATATGTATAAGGCGGTAGTGAATAAATAGGGGTTAGATAAAAAAAAATAATAAAAATGAAGAGGTTCATTGTATCGTAAGAACTTCATTGGTAATACGCAACTGTATGACAATTTAAATTTTGAAAAATGACGCCGGCCAATAAGGGTGGAAAATTATAAACGATTGAAAAATAGCGCAAAAAGCTTCGTCGACCTTGCCAGGATTCGAACCTGGAATCTTCTGATCCGTAGTCAGACGCGTTATCCGTTGCGCCACAAGGCCCATGTGCCTTCATCACGTGAATTGGCATAATTTAAAACCTAGTTGACCTGTGCGTACTGATTAAGGTAATAGAAATTTATATTTTTTTTATTTCATAATATTTGCTATGATTACTTATTCAAAATAGCCGCAGAGTGCAAAGTGTATGCACGCCAAAGCAAATAAATTGCGAAAATTGTTTAACTGCGTAGGGACTTAATTATTGGTAGAGATGTGACATGAGACATCTGAGATGCGTGTCTGTGTAGTAGGTATGTCTATTATAATATTACCATATTTTAAAATTTTGAAAAGTAAAAACATTGGTCATGTATAGTCATTAACAATAGTTTGTATATTTTATAAATTATACATTAAACCAACAGCTTATTGCGATGGCCAGACTGCAGACGAATTAAAAAATCGTAGTGTAATTGAAAGGTTAATTGCTTGTTTTCAAAAGTTATCGATTATCATGAAAACCTAAAGCGAACATAACGATAATAATATTACTTTTGTTTTTAGAATAATTGTATAATTTGTTATAATTATCAATAACAACATGATTTAAACAACATTCCTTGGAATAATAAACGTTGTACTATTATAGTATATTATTATTTATTATATTTGATTGATTAATAATTATTACGGCGGTGTCCGAATACGTTTTACTGTTAAATCTATAATTATTCATTATTGGCTGTATACTGTAGATACAATATGTAATGCAAAATATTTTTATTTTTATTACCGATTTAGTTACGCCTTAACCCATAACAATATTTAACTGTGACATTTGTTCGTCACCTTATTTCCGCTATGTTGTCACGCAATAAACTTTTTATGGTCCA